CCCAAACATGCTTATTCACCAAGGTGCTTGTGGTAGCCTTAAAACAGGAGTGGATTCTCAATACTGTTTTTGGATATCCTTATGCGAGCACTTAGGCCGGGGTATACCACAAAATATTGTTGGCATAGTTATGTCACTTAGGAATGTGAGAATGTAAAACTAATTGCAACCAAGCAGTTACATTCCTGCTCCAATCCAATCCAAGGAATCTACTTTGCTTCATTTGTTTTTTTTCCCCATTATGTATCCCATTTCATGGGATTTGAGGCTTGGCCATAGTAATGCCCTTCGGGTTGAAACAAAATATACAAGTTTTGAGAGATCCACATAGCCAAAAAAGCGTATGATTTCTGGAAAGGTTTTGAAATATATATATTTTTTTAATCACACTGATTTTAGAACTTCCAATTTAAAAAAAAGCACCAAAACAAAGCATCAGCTTGAAGAATGGCTGTATATTGCAAACAGTTGAGGGCTACATCAACTCTTGTGAAACCCTTACAAAATCTAGGTCCAATAGTGATTAAAGATGAAGTAGTGTTAACTATTTTCTTGCTTAAAATAGTTTGTCAGATGCATACTTTTGTTTTGTTTTTTAAATAATACATTATTTTAACATTAAAATTTATATACAAATAATTACACAACACATCACAACTGGAAATCTGTAACTGGGAAAAGTATGAAAGGAGGAATATTAACAAAAACAAGGGGACTTAAAATAAAGCAATATGCTTTCCCAGCACTTTGACTGCCTGGCCATCTATTTAGAGAAAACTGGAAAAGAATCTACATTCAGGAAAGCGGTTTTTCTACTGGACATTTCAAACTATAATTTCTAGAAAGTAATCTCCAAAAGATCAATGATTTCTACTCCTTTTGTAAATATGTTTTATGAAGGTTGTAATGATGCAGTTTTGGGGGATAGGAAAAAAATCCAAAGAAAGAATAGAACATCAGAATATCAATATAGATCTTTCTTTCTACAGGAATTTCAAAACTAGAATCACCTGTATGCATCGTCTTCTTTCAAGTCTCATATCATCCTGTGGGGGTGGGTGGCAGGGGAGAGTCCAGCAGCAAAACACAACACTGTAAAATGAAGAAAAATAGATTAGAACAAGAGGCAAAAATACAAGATGCAATTACCCTGATAATCCATTTCTAATAAAGGATCTAAGCTTTAAAATCTTTGGGGACGGAACAGTCTTTTTGCTACGTGTGTGTACAACGAGACCCTAGTCACTGGCCTCTAGGTGCTAGTGCAGGACAAACATAACTTCAAAGAAATCGTATATTTACATGGAAGGAAGAAGTGCCTAGCTGTTACTGTATAAAATACTAGAAATCAGGAGACCTGGGTTCTATTCCCAATTGTAAGTGACAAATCAGACAGTGCCCAACTTTCAGAGATGCTGCTCACCGTCCATTTCCCACCTCTAATTCAGCACCACTGAATAATCAGACCCTTAGCTAATCTATGCCTCAGTGGGAATACTTACCCTCCTTGGCAACACTCTTAGATATCTTTGGATGTTAAGTATTATATAAGCCTACAATAATATTGTAAAACTAATAATGTTGAAATTCTGTATGACTTTACTGAATCACCACTACAGAAAGCTCATAGACACACCTAGCATAAGGAGGGATCGATCTCATATAGTCCACCTTTTCTGCTTGGTCTTGCATGATAAATGATCTAATTCAGCATCATTTCTAAATATTAATATATTGTCAGAACCAAAGAATTATGACTTCACAACAAGATTAAGCAGAAAGAAAAGGTGAGCTATTAGGAAGAAAGCTGTTACTGCAACAAAAATAAAGAGTGGAAAGAATCTACAAAGAACCAGAATTTTTTTTTGTAAGAATGGCTGATTTTCAAAATATGCTCCAATATATGTGGCCTTTACTTACTATGCAACTTATGCAAAATATCAAAATACTTAAGAACTCAGTATTTTAGATGACATTCTTTTCAATTATTAAACAGGTTAATTGTTTTGATATGCAAAAATCTGTGTTATTCAGATTCGGTGCAAGCAAGTTTACCTATATTCTACGTTGCATCCTCTGAGAACACCAAGTCGGTATTCAAGCACTTCCTCAGATACAAAATTTGAAAATTAATAACATCATTTTCTTATTAAGAAAACTAAGCCTACTGAACTTTGTCTCGTCATAACTTATGCCACTACCACTTGTTCAGTTTTCAAGCATGAAACTATGTTTTTAGTCTCTTTATAAACTCTCTTGGTGTACAAGTGGAAACATATTCAAGCATTTCCTACATATAAAGTCCACTTTTCAGCACTTTTTACAGCAAAAGTTTTGTGTAACTTGAAATCATTCAGAGGAATTCAACAAAATAGCAAATTCAGCTTACGGTTGCGCCCAAGTTCTTAACGCAGAGAAAAAGTGGACCAGTGAGAGGTATTGAAAAGTGTAGTGGCTGTGTGAGAGCTGCATACTACAATAATGACAAAAGAGAAACTTGTGTTGTTCTGAAGGATAGAGCTGGGTGGCAAACTGGTGCAAGTCTGACACGGAATAGTTTCTTTTCATAAAGACTAGCAAGGATGAGACACACAAATAGACTTACTGGTATATGCAATGTTCACCACCATAGAACATGAAAATGAAAACACATCAATGGGCCCTAAACTAGTGCCATTCACCAAAGAAAGAAATTTTGAGGTCCTCATTGATAGCTGAGTGAAGATACTTGCCCCGTATAAAGTAAAAAATTATATAAAGCTAATGGACACTTGTATGAATTAACGGAAGAGAAAATATGATATACCGAATAATGGTACTCCATGATCTGAAGTATTGTGCCCAACTCTGACTGCTACACCACAAGAGAGCATGGTCTTATGGGTAATAGGACTGGGAATCAAAAAAGTTCAAAGTCATACTGATCAATCTCTCTTTATTTACTCTGTCCCATAATGCAAGAAAAAGTAATAACTTTGTAAAATTACCACATCCAGTAAAATTTAGGAGTTCTCAATCTGCATCTTAGAGAACTGTTCCAAGTTTTACATAACCAATTCTGTCACAGTGGTGAACAGATTGTTCATATACTAGTAGTTATGTTTTCCATTAATTGCAAACTATTCCAGTACAGAATGAAAGAACGAACATCCCTCTCTTAATCCAGCACGGCTGCATATCTTTTTGTGAGGTGTCTGGCAAAATTCAGTCATGATCAAATTTGAAAAAGACACCACATTGGAAGAGTCTCTCTCACACATTAAAATTCTAAAGCAATCCAGCGAGATTAGAGCAGACTGGAGCTGCAGGCAATAACGGGAGAGTCACTAACTATAAAGTTATAGAAAAAGGAAATCCACAGTTATAACCTGTGGATGTAACCAAGCAGCCACAACAATTGCAGTCCAGCATATGTGTTTTAATATTGTCTCCTTAACACTGTTCTAAACTTTTTCAAGTTACCAAACATTAGTATCAGAAAGGTATGGGAATAGGATCAGGAATATCAAAGAACTGTCTATGACTTTCAATAACGCACATTTAACCTGTGAAATTCAAAGCCAAAGAGGATCAAAATAAAATTTTAAAAAATCGTGCTAGTTTTAAGAAGGGGCCAGATAGTTTTGTGACCAACAATAGATATGTTTTTGCATAATTTAAAACAGAGGCACATGGACTCATGAGTCAGAGCATACATTGATCACCACAAGAGTCAAGAAGGAATCTCCCTCATCACACTCTTTGTTAGGTCATTAAGAGAGTAAAACTAACTTCCTCCTCAAGAGAAGTACCACTCACAGATTTCATGGAGTAGTGTCTGATCCAGTATGACCTACTTTACTGAATTAGAAAGGAGAGGAATTGAAAATAGGAAATGAAGCTATAGTGGAAGAACAGAAAGAAACAAGGGATAGTTAGGAAAGAGATAGGAAAGGGGGCGGGGACAAAGGATTGAGCATGACACTACAAGCAAAAAGTTAATTTAAGAAGCTTCATTTGATCTGAAACCAAGACAAGAGTAGTCAACATAGGTCAGATGCAAGTCTTTATCAATCCTCTAATACTAACACAGTTAAAACTTTTATTCAGGCTCTTATCTCCCAACTTAATTACAGTTGCTGCTTCCTCTGCAGAGCCGAGTGAATAATACATTTTTTTTGTTTTGGTGACCAAAGGGAAAAAATCGGGGGGGGGGGGGGGAATCAGTTTAAAATGAACATGCTTTTTAAAAAATTCTCTCACCAAGTTAAAAACCAAAACAACAACAAAAATTTAGAAAGTGTTGAGTTGAAACAAAAAGTCGATTCAACACAAAAAGCCAAAACTATCCAATTCACAAATGTTGAAACTTTTAATTTCAACAATTTCCCAAAACATACTCAAGTTTTGGTTTTACGGGGGTTTGTTTTGGTTTGGTTTTTTGACCAAAACTATTCGCCAAATTCAACCTGAATTTGAATAGCTTCAATGTCACCCCCACCCCAAAATGCTTTTTTCAGCAAATTTACAATTCACCTAAAAAATGTGACCCCCCCCCCTCTATTTTAATCTCCCCAACACACACATTGCTCCTCTCTGATCCATTCAAAATATAACTGACAGGTTCAATGTCCTTACCAGTCACTCTGATTGCATCACTCTCTACTATAAATCCCTCTACTACTCCCCTCTCCACCACAGTAAACTCAATTTGGGGCTCATTTTTCCTACAAAATATTTACTCAATGTACTTACATACTGATGAACACAATTCATCCTGGGATATACTATAATAAGATTGGGATCAATATCATGTTACCTAACTATTCTTCACAACAACATGCAAAAAATGGCAACGTTCTGTAATGTAGACCCATCTATACTGTCCCTCCTCATCCAACCAGCCTTCATTTGCCTATTTGTCAGCATCTCTCACAATGATTTCTTCCACATTGCTCCTTAACACCATTCATAAAAAAAACCCAACTCTCTTCTCCTTTGAAACCTTCCTCAGAATATGTTTCTGCTGTGACCTCTATAAGAAATCAGCTAACCAACAACAGGTGGATTGTGCATGAGTCAGGATGACCAATTTAAAATTTTTTTTAGAAGTAAAATGATTTAGAACCATTAAATTGTGCAATGCTATGATGTAATTTTAATTACCCTTAGTCTTCATCCCTCCACACATTTCCTTTTTTGTATGTCAAATTCACTTATTGCATTGTGTTTCAAATTAAACTGAGCTTCTAGGATACGGACCATCTCTTACTACATATGAGCACAATGGCATACCCATCTTGACTGAGGCCTCTAGACACTAATAGAATAATAATTTTAAAAGTCCACATTTCATCATTTTAAATCTGGAGGTGTATGGGATAACTAAAACTTGATACTTTAGAATTTAAACTTGTGTTTAACTTTAACTGTTTAAAAAAAGAAATTTAGAGCATCTAGTGTTTAAAGTACTACATTTTACTACTGGATCGGACAAAAGACAGGAATCAAGCAACAGAGTTCATGAACTATAATTAGCACCATAGAAAACATTTTCACCACAGCTTCACTGATGTTCTATAACAATCAAAGCATTCCTCAAAGAACAAATTTAAATAAAAGTTTTAAAAGGATCAACTATCTTTGTCATACACAAAACTTTGCATCAGCAAACAGGGCTACATGGATTTTTTTTATTATAATTTTTTACTTATTACAGATTAACTTTGTTTGCTCAATACTGTTGCACAAGACTCAATGGAAGCTTTCATAAATGATTGAAAGACTGTCTAGCTTAACAGCAGTTTCTGGAAGGACCTCTATTCTCTATAGAAAGACTATTTTGTAACTTCTAATAGCAATTCTCCTGTAGCATACACCAAATCCCTATATTCCTCCTTACAGATCTAGGGCACAGCAGTCAAAAACGTGCAACATTTAGATCAATAGTCCTTGATACACTGATGCCAATGGGTCTACGTTTAACATGTAAATCTGAACTTGAGAAGCATACATTCTTAAAATCCCATGCCCTGATATCCCTAGCCTCTGACTGCCAGAAGCGGGAGTGGACAACAGGGGATGGATCACTCAATGATTGTCTGTTCTGTTTC